GTTAACTTTTCTCATGTATAATGATTTTACGATATACAAAATAAGTAGATGAGAAGAATCTTATCTCGATTTATATGAAAGTACTTTTCCCTTATATTTTACCCTTAAAAATGATAAAATTACATTTAATGTTACACTTATATTGTCTTTCATCTCTCTCCTCTCTCTCTCTTATATTTAATAGGGACAAAAATAAAAAAAGTCACAACATCTTATATTTTATATCACAATTTTTGTCTAACCAACTTCTTATGTTATGAACTGAAGAGAGTACGATTTAAACACATACAAACATACGAATACTTAGCTCGAATTCAAGGGTTAGGACCTCCCTTAAGTAAGTGGATGGTGTTGTTGCTAGCGCATCTAAATGTTGACTGCAACATTTTTGTTAATTTGTCATCACAGAAAAAAGAGCGAGGCAATTATTAATTAGGGCCTATTTACTCCATGCTGTATTCCTTGTCTGAGATGTTAAAGTTGGGGGTAATACTCCTAATTAGCAAGGAAAGATTAAATTAGGGGTGTTCAAATGTGTCATGTCCTAACGTCCTGTTCCTATCCCGATTATTTTGGGACGAGACAATTCTGTCTTAAAATTTTTTGGAATGAGACAAAATTATTTCAGGATGGGACGGGATGCAAGACCGGGGTGTCCCGTCCTAGTCCAGTCCCAATATATTATCTTTATTTTTAGTTGTTATGTATTTATTTTATTTACTATTATAATAATTTTTGATAATGATATTTATCAATTGTTATTTTTTATTTGTTTATAAGTTTTTTTTTTAATAGAAAGGAAGGAATTCATTTAATATAACGTAAAGTCTATACAAAGTAGAAAAAGCTACAAACATTTACAAAAGAAATCTAAAGGCAGTATAGCTCTGTAGCTCTAATGTGAGTCAAAATTCCTTCTGTAGTATAAGATTCATTTGCAAAAATGCGGTGATTGCAGACCTCCCAAAGCTTCCAACAAAGAATGCAAAACCCAGTTTAATTTTCAAGAAATGTCCAGTTCTGAGTTGAGCAGCATCTTCTCTATCCAAGACACTAGACTATGACCAATGAAGTCAATGCGCAGATCATGGGGTAAAATTGTCTTCCAAATGGTGGAAGCCGTAGGGCAATCTTTAAAGACATGGTCAATATCTTCTGTAATAAGTATTTTACGTTTGTTTTTTTTTTGTCTCTCAAGACTACAAAAAAAATTTTTTTGCCATTATTTTCTCATTTTTATCTATTTTCTTCACATAATTTTTATTATAAGTTCTTACACTTGCTGTATAGTTAGCTTTTAAATTAAAAAAATAATAAATAAAAAGAGATGGGATGTCCTTGTTCCGTTCTAATTGGGATAGAAAAGATATCTCGTCCTGATTATCGGATGGGACTAGGACCGTCCCGTCCCGTCCCGTCCCATGAACACTCATAGACTAAATAATGACACATACACACACATACATTTTTGCAAGTTAGCTTAATTAGAGCAATCACACTCCATACATTATGTCTGCGACATTTAATAATAGTATAATCCCTGTGGTAGACATATAATGCTATTCAGCAAATACATTTAAAAAATGTTTAAAATTTTAACTAATTTTTTCTGTTTTTGCCTTTATTAATTAGATCAACTTTGACTAATTTTTTATTTATGAAATTCAATTATCTATATCATGCGTGTGTGTGTAGAGGATTGCAAGGAGTATACAAAACTCGGTGTTTGCTTATGCCTTTCTTTTTGTTTTTTCAATGTGTTTATCCCTTTCATTTGCTACATGTACTACTCCGGTCCTAAATATAAGATCTTTTTGGTAGTGTAAATTAAACTATAAAAAGAGTCTTATATTTAGGACTGGAAAAGTACTAAATATTAGTACTTCTTTTGACAAAGATTTTAATTTTAATTTTCATATTGTAAAATGCTAGTTCCATTCTTTACACCAACCTCAATTGTTACTCACATTAGCAAGTTTATTGTTTAACACGTGAAGCCACAATTATTAGACTATATTAGACTATTAAGTATTTGGTTTGATTGGGAGGGAGTTGTCTCCAATTTTTTTTATTAATTTTTTATTTTGTCCCATTTAATTACTCATATTAATATATCATCACATTTACAAATATCAAGAAATTTCTGTAATTTGATTATTTAATATTTACTACTCAGAGGATATTACCTCTTATCTTTAATATATAAGCTAGTTGAATAATTTAAATAGATTAATAAGCTTTGTTAACTATTTGTAATAAATATGAATACCGTTGCTAATAATGTGTGTTAGCTAAAACTATTATTTGATGAAACATTTAAAATGTGTAATTACTATAAGGACTATTTTGAAAAAAAAAATATAAATATGAGAAATAAAATAAATTAAAACTTTATATTTAGGATGAAATTAAAAGTTTAACCAACTCTTCTTATATATAAAAGAGATCGAGGAGATAGTAATACCTCTGATCTTATTTATAAGAGCCTGTTTGTAGATTAGAAACATAATCTTATAATTAAGGCACGAGCTGGTCTAAGATAGGAGGGAGTGGATAATAACAAGGGATGCGATAGAAATAAAACAAGATAAGAGTGTGTGGAGATGGGTAAATTTATTGGGAAGGAGCAATGAATGAGATCAACAGAGGCGAAACCGGAAAGGAGTTATGAGCTGTCCCCCTCATTCTTTTGCTTTTTAACGCCCCTGGGCTTTTGCCACGTAGCCCCCTCCCCAGAACTTGAACCCGAAACTCATTACCCGAAAGCAGCATGCCTGCCCTGTCTGTCTCCCTTCTCCCTCCCGTATTTTCAGCAATGCAATTATCACGTTCCCAGTATTTTCTTTATTCCTGTTATTCAGTAGTCCTCCGGTAATTGACATGAGAATGACTTAATTATTAAGTTAATTTTAATTTTAATTTATTTTTTATATTTATTAATTTTTTTAAAATTATTTATATTAATATTTTTTCAATGATAATCAAATAGGAGAGAGAAGAAGGATATTAATGAAAATAGGTATGGTATTTTTAAAAAAAAGTCATATTTTTAATAATTAATTCACTTATCTAACTTTTTAAATCTAATTAAATTATTTAAGGACGGAATATGGTACTCTGTTCCTATATATATGTAAGTCAGTTATTAGAGATAAATTTGTTTCTGCTGTGAGTTACTTTTAAAGTAATTAATGACATTTTCAATTTTTATTTCTATTAAATACAATAAAAAATACTCTTAATTTAATAGGAAAATGTAACAAAATTTTTTATCAATTAATATATTCTTTATTATACGTGAAGGGATACAAGTAAAGTGAGTTTCCTATAGAAATAGAATTGCGAGTTGATATACTAGTATCATATTTTATTGTGACTCACGTATATTTTATAAATTTTTTAAGAACTCATATTTATTTAAATCATATGCGTATACATACATCTTGGAAATTTTTATGACTGAATGTATTAAATATAAAATTAAAGTATTTATTAAGTTTATTGTGTTCAAAAGAGATTTCTTCAGCTTCTTTTTAATGACTCCTCTGTCCTCAACACCACTTGGCAAGAAATACTTACCCTTATTCATAATTTCTCTTCCTTTAATATTATTGTTATCTATAATTAAAGTTTGTTTTCTTACGTGAGAATGTTAAGTATTTTATCACGTATATCATTTTGTCTTTGGTTAAAAAAAAAATTAAAGTATTTCATCAAAAATTCTATCCATTCATCATGTGAATCACTCACCTTCCTAATGAATTGAATCCCACCTAATATTTTCCGCACCATTTACTGCCCACACATTGAAAATAAAGCTCACCATTGTGGGGAGGCTCAAAATAATTGATTATTGCCCTCTAAAACATACTTATGGACTTCTGTATTTTGATACGTTCCTCCGATCCCCATTAATTTTATACTTGAGATTGGATACTTTTCATCATAACGGTTTGGCTCATGTTACATTTAATACTTTCTTAAATCTTGTTTAAACATGAAATGACGTGTTCAATTTTCATACAAGTGTTTAATTAAAAGAGAAAAGCATATATGTATTAAATTAAAATTGAGATTGCCCTTTAACTTAAGTGACACTTTCTTAAATCTTGTTTAAGCATGAATTGACGTGTTCGACTCTTGTGAAGATACTTATTAAAAAAAAAAAAAAAGATAAGCATATATGTATTGAATTAAAGTTGAGATTGGACTCTTTTTTTTGGAGCCCTTTTACTTAAGTGACATTTTCTTAAATCTTATTTATTTATTTATTTATTTATTGACCAGCATTCTTAAATCTTATTTAAGCATGACATAACTTGCTCTACTTTCATACAAGTACTTAATTAAAAGAGAAAAGCATATATGTATCGAATTAAAGCTGATATTGAATATTTTTTCCGAGAGCTCTTTAGCTGACACTTTCTTAAATCTTATTGAAGCATGAAATGACGTGTTCGACTCTCATACAAATACTTAATGAAGAGAGAAAAACACAGATATGTGTGTGTGTGTGGAATTGATGCAAGCATATAAAAAGATTTTATTTTTTTCAAAACTTAAAATCTCATTAATGTGTCCTAAAATTGAATAAATTTCTTATTTTATCTTTATTTAATATGTATACAGATATTAATGAGAGGTTAAAATTTAAGAACAATAAATAAATAATAAAATTATACATAAATTAAATAAAAAATCATATTAAAAATAAAAAAAATTATCAACGTTAAATATATGAATAGGATTAGATGAGTATATAAATAAATAAATAGGCATGGTAAACTCAGACCTAAATTAATTGAGAGACTGCTTTTGCGTGGGTATTAAGTAGTAGTATTTAATAGTAGCATTTAATTTTAACCAGACCTTTTTATTACAAAGATTTTATATCTATATATATAGAAAGATATCTATATATATATATATATATAAATAAATTGTACATCTGTGGAAGCCTGTCTGCTCCCAGTTGGATTCAAAACCTCAAAGTTTGTCTTGACTTGACATTATAACAGTCATCATCACCTTCACGTTGTTTGCTTCATCACCACCATAACCATTAACCTTTTCCTTTCTCATTACCGCTTCTCTCTCTTGCCATTCTTCTCCCCCAAACAATGTTTTAGCCTTCCTCTAAACCCTAAGCCCTCCCTCTCATCTCCTTCAATTCCCTGTTTTATCCTTTCTTCTCAGATATGGATTTGGCACCCATCACCACCGCCTCATCAGCCGTCACCGCCACCGCCCACTTTGATGCTCTCCATGCTCCAACCCCACCGCCTACCCACCCCGCCAAGTCTCCGTCTTTCGCCAACGGCTCCCACAAGCGCCACCACCCTTCGCCTCATCCCCCGCCGCCCGCGGTGGTTTCCTACAAGGAATGCCTCAAGAACCACGCCGCCACCATCGGCGGTCATGCGCTTGACGGTTGCGGCGAGTTCATGCCTTCATCATCCTCCAACCCCAGTGACCCCCGCTCTCTCAAATGCGCCGCGTGTGGTTGCCACCGCAACTTCCACCGCCGTGACCCCCAAGAGCATCATCACTCCAGCCCCAACTTCCTAAGCTGCTTCTATCCTCCGCTTCCGCCGCCGCCGCCGCCACAGGTAGCTCCCCGGGGATTAAGCCCGAGCACTAGCCCAAGCATGAGCCCCAGCTCAAGCCCGAGCAGCGCCAGTCCGAGCCCGTTATCAAGCCCGTCGCCGCCACCGGTCTCGCATTTCCCTCCTTCTTCGTACCACACATCGGCACCGCATATGCTGATGGCGCTCGGGAACGTTTATTCTGCTCCGTCCGATGAACAGCATCGGAGCTTCATGAATTATTCGGCGATGAAGACGACGGAGAAAGAGAGCCCAGGCGGGAGAAAGAGGCACAGGACGAAATTCAGCCAAGAGCAGAAGGAGAAGATGTTTCAGTTCTCTGAGAAATTGGGTTGGAGAATGCAGAAAGGAGAAGATAGAATGGTCCAAGATTTCTGCAATGAGGTTGGGGTTTCAAGAGGAGTGTTCAAGGTTTGGATGCACAACAACAAGAACACTTTCAAGAAAAAATCAGAAATTGGGAATACCCAGACTGAGAAAATCAACGAAGGTGATGACTGTTCAGCTGGTAATAATCGAGGTGGCGGCGGCGGGTTTGATTGTGATATTAACGACGATAATGATCACAGGAATGAAGACAGCTGCATCAATCTTCAAGTCTCGGTTAATGGGTCGTCGTCTTCTTGATCATCTTCATCTTTCTGGTAATCCCAAGGCCATGGCGAGCTAGCAAGATCTAGTTTTTCTTAATGTTTAATGATCACTCTGTTCATAAGAACAGCTTCTGAAAATCTTAATTAATATAATTTCCAGAGATCTTCCATTTGATTCATCTTCCTCCTCTAGCGTAGCTTGTGAGATCTCTCGCCGCCGCCGTCTCATTCGATCAACAGGATATTATTAATTAATTGATGATATATATATATATATGGAATTTAATAAATTAATTAGCGCATGCACCTCCCAGAATGCCCATACCTGTGTGGCCAAGTATGATCGATGAGGAATTGATCTTGCGGTGGAACTTGTGAGGATATGTCTCTGCAAATTCTGTCGCTATACATTAATGGGGATGAGGCAACTTTTGCAGAATTAACGTGTCTGGAGATAATGCCATTGATGAGTTTGGTGAACATTGCATGAACCAAGCCTCTCTCTCACCATCTTACTCTTCTTAATTAATGATGAATTTATGAATTACTCAGTTATTTTCAGTGGACCTCCTTGGTTTTCTTAAAACAATTTGCTGCTTTGAACGATTAACCTAACCTACATAGAACTTCAGTTGTTTAACATCAAATATTTTCGGTAAATACTTTCACTGAACAACTTTTTTTTTTTTTTTTATGCGGGCGAAGAATCATTATAATCTCTCGGTCTTGTATATAAGTTTTATTTTTTTGGAGAGCGTCTAGTCCAAATTATAAAATTTATTTTTGAATATATCCAAGCATTTATTATTATTTTTATTTTGTTTTTAGTTGACTTTATTTAGTACTCCCCTCTTTCATTAATATTGCCATCATATCTTCTCTTTTATCTTTTTTTCATTTATTGACTCTTATAAATTTGGGAAAAAAATACATTTCTAATATGTTTATTATTTTTAACTAATTTTAGTTACTAATTCATCAAATATGATTCGATTATTTGAAACTTATATATAGGAGTGGAGGGGGTATTATTTAGTTGTAAGTTCACCAACTTCGAATATTTAATTTACAGGTAACATCCAAAATTTTTCTCCCTTTTGGCAACCAAATAATATTGATAATGGTAAATTGGAATCAACGACAACCACAAATGGCTAAAAAAAATTTACCGGAAAAAATTACCCCCAAGATAATAAGTGTCCAATATATAAAACGCTTGTTGGAATGAATTGGTAGTCTGAACTATATTAATCTGTACCTATAGCATCTACCTCTTTTTATAACACGTACTGTAGTTGTTAATTCTATAATAATTTTAAAAGTTTTTTTAAAAAAATACTTATATTTAATGATTTCCCAGTTAATTACTTTGGTCAAAACAGTCATTGATTTGTAAACATATACTAAGCCTTTTTTTTTTTTTTATCGTGATTAAATGCCCTTTTCCTAAGATGTTCCTTAGATGGTTAAACAAAAAAATAGGTATGGTTTTTAATTGTCATTCTTTGGACTTTTTCCTACAGAAATTTTTTTAGTAAAGTTCCTTATATTCATTCGAGAAAATGACCCCAAAAAATTAAAAATTTGTAAATATTAAATAAGGAATGTCAATAACAAATTTCTGTCATTTGCAAATTCAGTATTATTAACATCAAATAAAGTGTTATTATCAAACCTGATTTAAGATTTAGTAATTTTGAACTTGTTTCTTTTTATCATTCTCCCTGTTCATTATATCAAATTCTCCAATCATACATGGTCATGTGTCATTTTTTGTTTCATATAAATTTATACTAATATTTTTATAAATAAGATATATGTCCATGTGCGATTAAAAAATTTGACATAACAAATATAAGAAACTTGATCTAAATATATCGTATGTCTAAAATCATTTCATTAATTACTTCAGAGCAAATTATGTGTGTGAGTGTTTTGTTATAAATTAAATTGGCTTAACTAATTGATGTTTTATATCGAAGGCTGTGTTATCAAAATATGTAAAATAAAAGAAAATCGCAGTTTAAATACATATATATTCTTTTAACCAAAATATGTTCAGATTTTTAAGAATAATATTCATTATTTTATTGTTTTTATTGAAGAGAAAAAAGTATTTTGTGGGTACCCGATACCCATACATTCCATCTTAATTAAGTATTTAATTTTGCTATGTTAACAACGTTAACACCTGCACAATGACTAATACTAAGCACGTTTGAGTTTTGTTTTAGACATAAATAAAAATAAAAATAATATATTTTTATAGAGAGGAGAAGCCACGAATCTGAAACTAATTAGTCAGATGATAATATAAAAAACAAAAATAAAAAATGATGTGATTAATGAAGTATGATTAGAGGGTAGTAAAACTTGCTTAAAAGGCAAGCATGGTGCTTAGCTTTAATGATCATGGTGATTAGTGGAAAGGCTTATTAGACTCATAATCAGCCAACTTTCCCAATTGGGTTTGGTTCATTGCAGCGGCAAGTTTTGTTGTTTTCTTAAACTGCTAATCATAACCCCTACGGGATGCTACAGCCAAAAGCCACTTCATAAGTCTCTAATTAACAATCAATTAATTAATGGCCTAAGTCAGTTTAATCCCCCTAATAATAATAGTAGTAGTAATAATAATGTCTCTGGATAGGGAGCCACATGGCTTATTTTATTGCATTATATTGGACCCCTTTTTTCTGTTTTGATTTAAAATCATCTGGTGAGATGGACCTCTGCATGGCGTTTTTGAGATTGTTGAACCCTTGCAGCTTTATGATGGACCCCACTGACTCCTACCAAGCTGTAACTAATTTAATATTTCAAGCTTTTCTTTGTTGTTTTTACCTTTTAAAAACATTAAAGCTTATTTTTATTCTTATTAAGATTAAGGTTGATTCTCGCTTTGAAGTCCTAAAAAAATATTTTTAAGATGTTAGATGTATTTAAAAAGATAATTAAGGGTGTGGATAAAATTTAAATTTCTTATTAATAAATTTGTTCATTTTAACTCATTTAAGCTTTTTATTTATTACAAAATTAATTGTTCTAAATTTATATAATTAATTATTCAAAATCAATACAATATTTTCTTTTAAAGTTGGCCAATGCATTGCACATAGCTCCATACTTCCAATTATTAGCAATGATACCTATCAACGTAGACATAATTGTCTGTCATCTTTTGTGGGGAAAGAGATCACGATTTTGATTTTTCCTGTGGAAAAAAAAAAGTATTCTCATCATACTAAATATAAAATTTATTTTACAGTATAATTTATACTATAAAATATGTCTTATATTTAACACAAGAAGAATATAATATGACGCAGTTATGAAATGAATGTAATGCATCCTTGGGATCCCATATACTATAAGCAAGTATAAATTAGAATCAACCTTACAAAAGTAGAGAAAAGAAAGTGTTTCGAAGGATTGATTAATTAGTATATGCCAAACTTATCAAACCTCTATGCAATGAAAGATTATTTGAATAGAAGAGTTAATAGAGTTGCAACAAAAATGGATAATAGAACCTTTTAGGCCTATACTAGTTTGGCCATTTTTGACAAATTTCCCCTGTAGGCATTAGTATTGAGACAATAATCAGTAATCACCACAGGATCTCCAACACAGAACCGTGCTCTCTAAAAGAATGATGCCACTTAACCAAAATGAATATGCGTGCTTAAGACTCTATTGCACTCTCAACATGTATAAATAGCAACATTGAGTCTTCAGTGTAACAATTGAAATCTAGATATTCTCTCCAATATTCTATTATTTTTTTCCCATTCTTTACTGATTTTCTAGTCGTTGGACCTTAAGGTTGTGTTTGATATGAAGCATTGAAAATGAAATATTGAGATTTGGATTGTAATTGAGAAAATTTATTAAAAGAGTGTTTAAAATAAGAGATTACTTGTTATATGGGATTAGTCAAACTCATATATGTGGGATTGGAGAATACCATGAGAGGAAATAGTATTCCACAATCCCACCTCTATAGGTTTGCCTAATCCCATATAATATGCAATTACTTGTGTTAAATATTGTTTTAATGATTTTTTTCAATTGCAATCTCAATCCTTTATTTTTAATGTTTTGTACCAAATGGGACCTAAAAGTCCCATAGGTAATCTCGGACTGGACCCTTTCTAAATGACATACAGGTACTAGGTATGACATGATTGCCATGTGTGATGTTATATTGACTACTATTTGAAACTTAGATACCTTGCATCAATATGATTTGAATCTAGTAGGAATGACTAGTCTCTTAAAATATAACGAATCAATGTTTGAATTCTCGCTGAATGAAATGTCTATATTTATTGTTTGACAGTACATCAAAAAGGATTATCTCCAATATAAAGCCATCTGTGTTTAGAAAGGGGGGAAAAAAACTTAAATGCCTTGTTGGATGCTCAAGTCGTGACTCATGACTAGTTGAAGCAGATGTGAGGGAAGATAGTATTATAATAACGACCTTTTTTGGGGTCAGATCGTGCATTGCAGATGGACTTCTGAACGGATCGATGAGTGTTTGATGAAGAATGGCCTCCATTAAAAATGGATCATAAAATAATGTAGTTTAAGCAACGCCATGGGCGTGACGGTCCATGCAATGTAAAGTAAAATACAAGCCCAAATCCAATCCTCTTGGGCCGGCTTTAGGCCCATGAACAGATATTTGAAAAAAGAAGGAAGAATTCTTGTGAACTTCGTGATTGGTGGGATATTATTCTTATTCACAATGGAGCTCTGAGCATTTAGAGCAGTGATAAAAAGATAGCAAGTCATTCTTGCCATAATACCATTACGAATCTTAATAGTGAACGTCAACTTTTTAATTGTTAGAATGACATTAAAAATTCCCAGTAACTAATGACAGTTAGGTTTAATAAAATTAGTCAATTTCTTACAATACGAGGAATCAAAATTGAAATTTTATTAAGAGATATGCTTATATGTAGTGCTTAATAACATTTTGAATAAGATTATTTTTAATAGGACAATATTTGTGACTTAAAAAATTCCAAGTACATATGACTAATTTGCAAATACTTCCAAATAAATATTTTTTCTGTTCTTAATATAAGACTCATTTAACTAATTTGATTAGATTAAGGAAGTTATGTAAGTTAGTTAATTATAAGAAATGTAACATATTTTTCCTAAAATACCATAATCATATTTTTTAATACCCCATCTTCCTCATCTATTTGAT